AGCTGGGATATACAGGCATGCACCACCATGGCCCCGTTAATTTTTGTATTTACAGTAGAGACGGGGAAGTTTCACCATGGTTGGCCAGGCTAATCTCGAATCCTGCCTCCTGTGGTAATGCTTTTGGCGCTGTCGTCTGTATCAGTGCTGATGTCCGTTTCTCGGTCTAGATGACTATGTGGTTGTGTATTGGCTGTATGTGTCATGTGTTTGTTTGGTGTGGTTTTCTGTAGCTCTTGTGTACCGTTTTGAGTCGAGGTAGTGTGTGCTCCCGCTTTGTTCAAAAAAAAAAAAGTACTCTATACTGCTTCATCATATACATGTTCCATAATTTAGCCATCTGACTATTACCGAGCATTCTAAGAAGCTCCCAGTTTCCACGTTGCTCTTTTTCCATGGCCTTCCTCAGTTCTTCAGGGCAGGTTCACACAGGGAGACCCAGGGAGAAGCTCAAAGCAGCTGTGGCTGTGGCCTCTTGTGGGTCCTCTGGCGCCATCTCGGCTCATCTTTCTGCTCCAGGTCAGCCTTCCTGCCCTGAAGCTCTCTGCCCTTTTCTTTTCTGGCCCTCACCCCCTTCTTCATCTCTGAGGGACGCTGCCCATCAGGCAGAGGGACTTCAGGAAGGTCCCTGCTACTGCGGAGGGTGCCCAAGCAGCTGGTGAGCTCCGGCAGGCCCCCGGCCCATCCTTGGAGACTCCCGGGCCTCTGCGTGGGGAGGGAGGGGAGAGAGTGGCTTTCCTGAGGCCGCCTCCTGCCCCTACCCTCTGGTTTTCTGCAGTCTGGGTGGCCGTGTCCTGCCCAGGTGCACCTGGGTGTGGTGATGACTCAGCTGGCAGGCCGTGACTTGGGCTTCATCTTATCACACTTTACACAGAGAGAAATCCCATCACCCCACCCGCAGTCCAGTGTGCACAGGAGGCTGCTCCCCTGTCAGCTCGGGAGACATGCCGCGGGTGTGTCTGAGCAGCTGAGTCCAACCATAGCACTTCCACTGCCCCTGCTCCGGACTGAACCTGGCATCTGCCCAAGGCTGGATGAGCTGTCCTTACTGCTTCCAGAGGGCCGCCATTTCCCTTGGGAGGGGCAGAAGGCTCCCCCTCTTTAGCGTTGTGGGCAGCTCACTCAGCCTCTCATAGCCTTGACTTCTCCCACGGAAATGGGGGTGATGATAGCACTTGTTTCTAGGGTTCAGTCATGTGTCCAGTGCGTGCTCAGTGAAGTGTCCACAGTTCCAGGAGCTTGAGCCCTGCCTTACAGCTCCTGGCGGAAGGACAGAAGGCAGCCATGCTAGGGGCCACCCTGTGCTTTAGGAAGTGCTGAGGTGGGACTGGCAAGGGAGGCTCCAAGGGCCCCATGGGGAGAGGCTCTCGGTCAGTGCCTAGTTGCCCTCTGCCGCTGCTCCTCTTTCTCAGGACTCCAGGGAGGCCAAAGAGCCCCCTCAGTCTCTCAGACATGTCCTGCCTATGAGCTGCAGCCCAGATCTAAGAACTACAGAAGTCCAGGGTGGGCGGGATGTCAGGGAGCCATCCTGTCCAGCCCCCTGACCATCCATGGTTCTTTCAACCCTTTCCCCCCCCGTGTCAGTGCTTAAAGAACTGGGTGACGAAGGGCCACCCCGACATGGCAGAGCGCCTAGTCTGGTATCCCAGGAAGACGCAACTCACAAGGAGAGCCGTGGAGGGCTTGTTAGCAGCAAGAGGGTGTCAGCGTGTGACAGCTGGGGGCTGAAGGGTCTCAGGGATGGACTGAGGTTGGCGACTGCAGTGAGTACCAGGGAGAGGGAAGAACAGACGGGACAGCTCAGGGGTAAGGAGCACACGGGGCTCTGGAATTTACTCTACATGCAATGGGATCCTGTAATAATGTTCCTCCAGCTGGGCGTGGTGACTCACGCCTGTAATCCCAGCACTTTGGGAGGCCAAGATGGGTGGATCACCTGAGGTCAAGAGTTTAAGATCAGCTGGCTAACATGGTGAAACCCCGTCTCTACTAAAAATACAAAAAAAAAAGAGTCGGGCGTGGTGGCATGTGCCTGTAATCCCAGCTACTTGGGAGGCTGAGGCAGGAGAATCACTTGAACCTGTGAGGTGGAGGTTGCAGTGAGCCAAGATCACGCCACTGCACTCCAGCCTGGGCAACTGAGCGAGACTCCGTCTCAAAAAGGAAAAAAAGTTTCCCCAAAGCAGGACCAGTCTGACCCAGGTGCTGCTCGGGAGCAGGCAGCAGAGTGAAACCTTGGCAGGTTCCTGCCCCCGTCAGTGGAGGAGGGTCCTTGGCAGGGGCACCATGGGCACCTGTCCCTCCGGCTGGGGAAGATGTCTTAGTTGGGCTTCAGGTTCAGGTAAATCTTCTCTTTGTTAGTTTCCAGAAAAACAGGGCAAGTGGGTGGAGCTGTGGTCTTCACTCCTGATTGGTCACTCAGGACACTGGGCATGTTTTGCAAATGAGCTGAGAGGTGGCTTCCTCCACTGAGCAGGAACCAAAGGGAGGGGTACTGTGATGACAGGAAGCTGCGTTAGGATGCACGGAAAGTCATCTTCCCGCAGTGAGCAGCGGTGCTGAGCGGAGTGACCTCCAAAACAAGGTAGCATCTGTCCCCAAGGCCAAGAGGCCATTACACTGAGGGGGCCTGACCTGAGGGAATGGGGGTGGGATTCCGGCCACATTACCTGAGCACATGAGTTCCTTTGATGCAGAACCAACCACTGATGTCTCACTGTTGCCTTTTCTGTTTTCCTCCAGAATCCTAGTAACGGTGACATGGAAATAACTTTAAAATGCTCTAATCTCTTAATTACAGTACATAAGTCAAATGGTACACTCCTTACCATTAATCTACAATGATTGCATAGCCATGAGTGTGCATTTATTGGCATGGAAAGATGTTCACAATACATTGTTTTTGGGGTTTTTTTGTTTTGTTTTGTTTTTGAGATGGAGTTTCACTCGTTTGCTCAGGCTGGAGTGCAATGGCACAATCTTGGCTCACTGCAACCTCAGCCTCCTGGGTTCAAGCGATTCTCCTGCCTCAGCCTCCCTAGTAGCTAGGACTATAGGTGGGCTCCACCATGCCCCGCTAATCACAATATATCGTTAAATGTAAAAAGCTGGGGTGGGCACAGTGGCTCATGCCTATAGTCCCAGCACTTTGGGAGGCCGAGGCGGGTGAATCACCTGAGGTCAGGAGTTCAAGACCAGCCTGGCCAACATGGTGAAACGCCGTCTCTACTAAAACTACAAAAATTTAGCTGGGCGTGGTGGCACATGCCTGTTATCCCAGCTACTTGAGAGGCTGAGGCAGGAGAATCACTTGAACCCAGGAGGTGGAGGTTGCAGTGAGCCGAGATCACGCCACTGCACTCCAGCCTGCGTGACAGAGCAAAACTCTGTCTCAAAAAAATAAAATAAATAAATAAAAGCTGGCGTAAACCATGCACAGTGGTGCATGCCTGTAGTCTTAACTCCCAGGGAGGCTGAGGCAGAAGTATGACTTGAAGCCAGAAGTTCAAGACCAGACTGGACAACATAGGGAGACCCGAGCCCATCTCAGAAAACTGATCAAGCAGCAAGCAGAGTATCCCATTTTTACTAAATACTTACATGTATTCACATATTTCAAATTGTGGGATGAAAAACCAATGTTCAGTCAGCTGCCTGACATTTGAGACGTACTATTGCTCTGTCGCCCAGGCTGGAATGCAGTGGTGCCATCTCAGCAACCTCCACCTACCGGGTTACGCTATTCTGCCTCAGCTTCCCAAGTAGCTGGGATTATAAACATATGCCACCAGGCCCAGCTAATTTTTGCATTTTTAGTAGAGATGGGGTTTTACCATGTTGGCCAGGCTGGTCTGGAACTCCTGACCTCAGGGTGATCCATCCACCTCGGCCTCCCAAAAGTGCTGGGATTATAGGCTTGAGCCTATAATTTGTTTGTTTGTTTTTGAGCCATTTGTTTGTTTTTGAGACAGAGTCTCACTCTGTCGCCCAGGTTGGAGTGCAGTGGTGCGATCATGGCTTACTGTAGCTCCACCTCCTGGGTTCAGACAGTCCTCCCACCTCAGCCACTCAAGTAGCTGGGGCTACAGGCATGTACCGCCACGCCTGGCTAATTTTGTGTGTTTTTGTAGAGCCAGAGTTTTGCCATGTCGCCCAGGCTGGTCTTGAATTCCTGGGCTCAAGGGATCCTCCTGCCTTGGCCTCCTAAAGCACTGGAATTACAGGTGTCAGCCACTGTGCCCAGCCCATTCTAGTATTTTTACCAGTTTTATTGCTATATTATGGACATAATAAACTGTACATATTTAAAGGGTACAATTTGATAAATTTTGGTGTAAGTGTATACCCATGAAACCATCATCTTATATGTTTATAATTTTTATAAATTGTTCTAAGGTGATGATACATTATAGGTTTTTAGTTTATTTTTTTGAGATAGGGTCTCACTCTGTTGCCCAGGCCGGAGTGCAATGGTGCAATCTCGGCTTACTGCACCCTCCGCCTCCCAGATTCAAGCGATTCTCCTGCCTCAGCCTCACAAGTAGCTGGGATTACAGGCACCTGCCACGCCCGACTGATTTTTGTATTTTTAGTGGAGACAGAGTTTCACCATGTTGGCCAGGCTGGTCTCGAACTCCTGACCTCAGGTGATCCACCCACCTCAGCCTCCCAAAGTGCTGGGATTACAGGCGTGAGCCACTGTGCCTGGGCCGGCCTTGTTTTAGGTTTTTACATTAAAGGGAAAAAAGAAAGCGTATCAGCCATTGAACTGGCTGAACCGAGAGGGAAAGGGATTTGTGCGCACCTCTGGAAGGCTCGGCTGTGGCAGACGGGAGCAGGCAGGCCTTTCTAGAACCGAGAAGGCAGGAGCCGGAATGGGCTTTGGATCGCTTGTGCTGGGACCAGCTTCTCAGCCTGGGCCCTCCCTGGGGTTCATGAGCTGGGGAGCTGGCAGGAGGCCCGGGGCTACAGCATCCAGATTGTTCCTTGGTCTCCCATAGGAGGCCTGTGCAACCTGTGCCCAGACCGGGCCAACAAGGAGCACATCCTGCAGGCAGGAGGCGTCCCACTCATCATCAACTGCCTGTCCAGCCCCAACGAGGAGACGGTGCTGTCTGCCATTACCACGCTCATGCACCTGAGCCCGCCGGGCCACAGCTTTCCCCCGGAGCTGACCGCCGCGCCCGTGGTGCAGTGCATGCTTCGCTTCTCCCTCTCGGCCAGTGCCAGGCTCCGGAACCTGGCGCAGATCTTCCTGGAGGACTTCTGCTCCCCACGCCAGGTGGCCGAGGCCCGCAGCCGGCAGGCGCACTCTGCCCTGGGTATCCCACTGCCGAGGAGCATGGCCCCATGGCAGCGCTGATCCACGGGGACCGCAAGACTGTAGCACCCCTACTGCTGGAGACCACGGTCCTGATGTGGACGCAGGGAACAGGGGGAGCATATGCTGCCCCACTGGTGCCTTTTCAGCCATTTGAAAGGCGGGTTCTTTCAGCAGGACAGGCATTTACACTGTGATGAAACGCCGTCAGGAGTGAGGAAGCCAGACTCCGAGGCACGCGGAGATCAAACTGGAGCTGCTTTCATAGGCCGGCACTCTCTACCCTACGTCTGGTGCCACCACTGCCAGGCTCAGGCCCTGGTGTAAGAAGTGGCCAAGTGCCTGGACCCAGAGGCTTCGCAGTACAGTGTTCTCAAGAGCTGGGACTGAGGCTTAGGAGAGCTGCCTTTGCTGCGGGAAATCAGGGATTATCCCTTAACAGAAGTGTCTGGAGTAGTTTTCAGGGATAGGAATGAGATGCCTCATGGTAAAAGATGTGGTGCCCCCTCTGGGGCTGTGGAGGATGGATACCTCCCCCAGGGGCTCCCCAAGCTGGGCATTTGGGCCTGGTGGATGCCAACCTGGATAACTTGTGGCCCAGCATTGACTGTCCACCCAGCCCTGCTATCTGCTAGGCACCATGATTCCAAGATGAAGATATGGTCCCTGCCCTTGAGTGACAGCCCAGTGACTTAATGTGGCCATTGGGCATCAAGCACAAGGCCATGCAGGTGATGAGATGTCGGAGTAGAGGCGCCAGCCCTGGGAACTGCATCTTCTCCCCTTGCCACCCCACGGCCCCAGCTGAAGGCTTTGGCCCTCCTCCTCCTCCCCCCTCACCACTCCACGGCCCCAGCTGAAAGCTTTGGCCCTCCTCCTCCCCCCTCACCACTCCACCGCCCCAGCTGAAAGCTTTGGCCCTCCTCCTCCCCCCTCACCACTCCACCGCCCCAGCTGAAAGCTTTGGCCCTCCTTTGCTGTCACACTCAGTGATGGGGAGCCCTACCCCAGAAGTGTATCTCATGAGGGACGCAGTGAAAATGGTGCTCAAGAGAGACAGGAAGAGAGAGTAACATAAAGGATGTGGCTCCACGTCCACGGCGCCACCTGGTCAACAGAAGGTGCGTGGGAGCTGATGGGAAGTTGCTCAGGGAAAATGGGGGGTCCTTGCCTCTTGTGTACCTCCTCAAGGCTGACCCCTTACATGGCCCAGGAATGGCAGGTGCTACAAGAATGATATCCACATGGGCATGGAAATGGGGCAGATTCAGGGACCACTGGGCTCAGAGGGGAGGGAAGGGCTCATCAGCACCCACCCAGGGAGCCTGTCCCTTTATGTTCCCAAATAAAGGGTCCTAGAAGACCAGAAAGCCGTCTTTTATTAAAGAGTTCCAACTGGTTTTCCCACTATTTCCACGCAAGCCAGGGGCCAGCGGCAGCCTCTCGGAAGGTACCGGGTGGCTGGGCCTGGGGCCTGGCAGCACAGCGCTTAACGGTATCTGCCTGCTCCACTCCACAGGGCCAGAGGCACCAGCACGATGCCGCCCTGACTCGGCTCTGTGGTGGCCCCTGTCCGCCCTTCAGCGCCAGCTGCTGCCCGCGGCATCCCCGCTCATTCCCGCTGCGCGGCTCCTCGCTTGCTGTCTAAGATCTCCCTCCAGTTGTCACTCCAGGAGAGCAACCGTCTCTTTGTCGGGGGCAGGACCAGGTGCCGATTGTGACAGCAGGTGAACAAGATGTGCTCCCAGCGCGGGGTCTCCTCGTCGCCTGGGACAAGAAAGGCAGCGCTGACATCTGTAATGGGCATGATTACTTCCTCTCCCTAATCAGGGCAGGCTAGAGGCCTGGAGGCTGCCAAGGATAACGGATCCAACCTCGAATTGTGTCCTTGTCATCAATGAGCAGGTCCCCCAAGACCACCGTCTTGTCCCTTGTCAGGATAATTCGTTCTACGAACTGGGGCCCCAGGTGCTGCTCCACCCAGCGGTACTGTGTAGAAGACACAGGTCTGTTGAGTAGGGCCTGATGGGAGCCGGAATTCAGGGACAGGGAGTGGGGTCTAAGCCTTTGAGAGCCCCCCACCCCCGACCTTCTGGGTTTCTGGTGGTTTCTTTTTAAAATCAGGATTTAGGCAGCTCCACGTGCGGAGTAGGGGCGGGGCAGCCACACCTTCTCACCCACACAGTGGTCGTACTTCAGCAGGGGGCTGGTGCAGATGAAGACCTCCGTGCTGCGGAGAAGGTCGCGGTTACCACCGGGAGCCGGGAGCCCGCCCAGGACTCCGCCCGCCCCCACTCTCCTTACTCCGGTAGGTCGTTCATCTCCCGCACAGCGTCCAAGGCCCCCGGGATGGGCTCCAGGTCCAGGAAAAAGCCCGGGGCTTCGTACACACTGGCCACTTTATCCTGAAAGACAAGAGTTCTGGGTCCCGGCTTCTGCCTCCGGCAGATGCAGTTCCCACGAGGACTCGCAGGGAGGCTCCTGGGGACTCTGGGCCCGGGCTCCGAGCTGCGGAGGGGTCTTTGGTCAGGGGCACGCGCCCAAAGGCTCCTCCCCAGGGTGCGCTGCCCGCGGGTGCCAGGGTAAGGGCTCTGCGCCCTTCACACAGAAGGGGGTGACCCCGGGAACGGAGCGAGCCGGCCCTGCCCGTGTGGGGACCCCGCGCCCCCTACCGCCAGGTCGGGCCGCAGGGCGCGGTACTGCTCGCGGGCCAGGAAGCCGCGGCGCTGCTCCAGCGGCACGTGCGGCTCCTCAGGGAAGCGGCGGCGGAAGCCCCGCAGAAGGCCGGCCTCGAAGTCGGCCAGGACGCCGTCCATGTCCACCAGCACACGCAGGCGCCGCGCCATCGCCGCCGGGCCGGGGCTGCAGGCTCTCGGCATCTGGGGGGCGCGGGCCTGGCCGGAAGCGCGGGGAGTGGGAGGGGAGCGCTGCTTCCGGAGCCCGGGCGCTGGACGGGGTCCGCTGGGCTGATTTGCATAGAGCCTCCGGGACGCCCCGCCCAGGTCGTAAACCGCTGCCGAAGGCTCTGCGCGAGGCCTTCCTAGGGTTCGGGTGCAGGGACGGCTTTGGGGGGCACTTTTCTGACCCTGCGCTTTCTCGGGACCCAGCCTTTGTCCGCATCAGACGCCCCCCACTTTACAGCAGACGTACCCCCGTTCACCTCACGTTACTAGTAGGGGACCGACCTTCCAGGGGCCCAACAAAGGGTTGATCTGAAATACTAACGAGGAAGTCAAGGGTCCTAAACCTGTGGGGCTAGCTCCACGGTTTTTTTGTTTTTCTGAGAGGGAGTCTTGCTCTGTCGCCCAGGCCGTATGCGGTGCAACAGTGGCGCGATCTCGGCTCACTGCAGCCTCCGCTTCCCAGGTTTAACCGATTCTCTTGCTTCAGCCTCCCGAGTACTTGGGATTACAGGCACCTGCCACCACGCCTGGCTAATCTTTATTTTTAGTAGAGACGGGGTTTAGCCATGTTGGTCAGGCTGATCTCAAACTCCTGACCTCAAGTGATCCGCCTGCCTCGGCCTCCCAAAGTGCTGGGATTACAGGCGGGACCACCGCGCCCGGCCAAACTCTTTTTTTTTTTTACCGCAATGCCGTGGTCTCAGTGGATTGATTTCGTCTGTGAGTGCGGCAGTCTCAGTGGATTGATTTCGTCTGTGAGTGCGGCAGTCTCAGTGGATTGATATCGTCTGT